ATCTGACCTTTTAGTAATTATTTATAGAATGGATATTTGTAGGAATCATCCGACACACATCCTAGAATTATCCATGTTTCACAGACTACAATTGATATGGCTAAACATCTACAAGTCAATCTACACATAAAAGGTTGATTAATGGGTCTTCATTGCATAACAATCATGAAAAGCGTTCGATCCTGTTGCCCTTTGGGTTTTTCAAACTACAACATGATATTAAAATTGATCAGTAAGAAACAGGTTCTCGAGTCCTTTTAGGAGCATTTTCACTTTGGTTTTCTCAACTGATGTGCAAGTTAAATCGACATTTTCCTTAACTAAAATATCACATACAATTTAAATGGAAAACTTCAAAAAACAGACCAACTATCAACATTTTCCTTAACCAAAATATCACATACCAGATCAGCTTTCTCGTACGAATATCCCCCTCTATAAATAATCTAATCGAATACCTTCTAACTCGGACTTGTTAAGTCCTAAAATTAATCAGAGACATATTAATTTATTGTTTTGACTCCAGCTAGGACTCTTATGAGTTAAGAAATTTTGAGTCTTTGACACAATAATCTTTAAAATATAATGACATATTATGCTTTGAATGAACAGAATTTATAGTATTCTCATTAATCTCTTAGCTTCACCATGAATCAAAATTTTAGGATTCATTTCATACTAATTTCAAGATTAATGCTAAGATGTTTATGATGCAAATTACATCCCAATGGAAAGCCCAAGGAGCCAAGAATTCAAAGTATTTTACAGAGCTACTATACACAAGAATGGATGAAAATTCTTCTCACCTTTTTAATTCTTAGATGACTCTTAGTAATCCCTGTGAGTTTTTAATAAGTTTTTATTTATTTTATTCTTGAAAATAGTGAAGAAATCAATCACACATCCTTAGAGGGTTGGTCCAAACCCATCACCTATCACCATATATCATGTCTTGTAAGCCAGAGGATAGAATGATTTGAATATGAGTATAGTTTGTTGAAAGATCTTATCCTTCTCATACAATTTGTATCTCTTTAGTTGATTACTTAGAATGGTGAGATCCTAAGCAGACTACTTTGGCTGATTTGGCTGATGAGAGTTATATCCCTTGGATGTTTTCATTAGATAGTGAGCTCGATTATCTTCCCTTCAACCCATTCCACTTATTTCATTTCCATTACATTATCATATTAGACTTAAATATTGAGTTGTAATTTTCATCATAATATGATATTTGTAACTAGCCATTTCTGCTAATAATTAAGCTAGAGCCATCATTTTGGTAAAGCATGTGCAAGATTTATGAAGACAAAATGTTGTATTTCACTATAAAAGAAAAGGAATACTATAACAAAAAAAATGAAAGTTCCGTAACTAGCAAGAACTATGATTCACACCAACATGTTCTTATTTTTCATCTCCTTTTTAGCTTAAAAGACAATAAATTTGGCTCAATATCTGAGCATAGAGATCACGAAGAATTTTTGCATATTAAGAACTCATGCACAACAAAATTTAATAAACTAAATAATCAATAAAAGTCATTATCTTCCCTATTTGACAGGAAACTGTAGCTGCTTGATATTGTTTCTTTCTCACAAATGAAGATATCATTGACAAATAGACTTTACAATAACACTTGATTCTCATCTAGAATCATACAATTTCTGGTGTAATGAATTATAAAATTAATACAAAGAATATTATTACAATGATTTAGCTAAGAAATAGAATTCAAATTTATCTCCAGGATTCTAATGTAAAAGGCACAGACATTTAGTATTTCTACGAAAAAGCTGATACAAAAGCAAAAAGTAAGTCAATTATCTTTTTGGAGACACATGCTTTTCCATCCAAAGTCACAGAAAATACCTCATCAATCAGTCCCTTTTCGAATTCAGTCCATGCAGTGGGATGTTTTTCCGCTAGAAGTTCTTTCATAGACATTCTGTACAAGAAAAAATTCCACAAAAAATGAAAAATGAGTAAAATATGTTCCTAGTCGCAAACTCCAATAGATAAATATATTAAATGTGAAAACAATTGCAAGAACTAAGAATCACCAATAAATTATTAGGAACTGCAACAACACAAAGCATAAAAGATGCAAAACCAGGGAGTTGGAACCACTACATTCCATCATGTAATGTCCACCAGTCCTTTGACCTCAAATGAGATTTATCCTGTCATTTTTTCTGGCCATGAATTTTTATCACATTAGCTTTCCCCTTAGATCTCATCAAGACCTAAGTTGTTTTTACAAAAATTTTCTGTCTAATACCTTCCTAACGAGGAGCAACATAACTACGTTTGAAACATATAATAAACAAATCATATATCGAACACAAATTTAGATAAATATTAAATTATTAACGAAAGATTTACTAGTTATGGAAACAAAAGGGAATTTGATTATAAAAGAAATAAGTCCAAATGCGCAAAAGATTTCTTATGACAGTGAAACTTCAAGCTCTGATTCCATAAATAACACGAATGGTATGGAATTTATTGCATGACAAAAAAGACAATGTGAAGAGGATATACATCAGAGAAGGTTAGTAAAATAACAAATTGACCTAAAACACTACACAACCTTAGTAGCAGCAGTAGGGGGCAATTGTGGTTTGTTAATAATCAAATCAGCCAGAAAAAAGGAAAAAAAACAAGTAATCTCCCAATCAAAACTGTATTCTCTATCGTAAGGATCATAAATCGATAGACGTATCAATTGGAAACAAGAAATTAAAAAGGATCTGACGGCCAGAGTTCTGCTTTTCTCTAACTTCATAATGTTAACGGTAATGGAAGCAATTAACTGAAAAGGATGAGTGAACGAGAACACTTTAAGGCAAGGAGAAGTCAAACAACAACGCTTAATTGCAGCAAGCCCAAGGGAAACGAATGTTTACCAAGCAACAAAATTGGCACCCCTCCTGTTCATAATTTTGATCTCACAAGAAATGGATCAGAGTAATATCATTCGACATGATCTTACTATTGATAGACTCCAATCAGCGACGACAGGAACACGGGAACCATGAGAAATCGAGATATTATTTCATGGCATATCACAGAGAAAAATGGGTGAAAAAAACAAAGAAGGAAACTGAACTGGAAGAAAGCGGGGACGTCGTCGTAGAAGGGATCGCGGACGAGCGTGTCCATCACGTCGAACAGCAAGACGGGAAGCTTCCGCCAACGCTGCGAGGCGGAGGCGCAGTCGACGGTGGCGGGGGCGGCAGAGCAGGAGGCGGTGGTCATGGCTCGTCTTGCAGGGACCGGCTTTGGAAGAGGGTGGAAGATCGGAGGCCGGAAGACGGCTGCGGCCATTCAAAGGAATTTGATGTTAGCAGGGAACTAGGAACTTCTATTTATCCTTCTGGCTCTCAAATCATTTCTCCCTCTACGGATCTTAATAATTTCCGAAATTTTCAATCTATATAGTGTTTTAGATATTTAAAATATGAATGTCATGAAAAACGTTTCATTTTGGGCTGTCCTTTGGTGCCTGCCTTTTTATTTTTCCTTCACATTTTTATATTCCAAAATATTCATGATAAAATAAGCCAAAAAATTATTTTTTACATGAGATCGATCCATAAAATGAAATGGTTTAGACATAGTATTTTTAACTGGGTTATTATATATAATATTTTTGTCACCTCCATGAAGACACTGTAGGTCTATGCAAAAATATTATTGTTAAAGGAATATGGATTTACTAACTTGTCATCATTTATGGGATTTCAAATATATATTTTTATTGTTTGGGAACGAGAACATGTAAAAAAAACTTAATTTTTATGGTAGTAATAATGTTTATTATATATACAAAAAATATTGTAAAAAATCATTTCACCTTATGGATTTCTAGTAAAAAACATTTTGGAACTAAGAACAAAATACTAATAGAGAAAAATAAAAAGGAACATATCGACAAAAACCCAGATTGATTTTTTTTTTCTGAAAATTCATCCATAATTAAATCTTAGCTAGATTTGCCACGCATGTGCTTCCTAAACATTATATTTCTATTCCTCTAAAGCTTAATATTATAATATATTTTTATATAAATATATATTTTTCATGTAATTTCGAATGGTATCGTTCGATACGGACGGTACGTACTGGTCCGACGATATACCGATACGCGGACTGCCCGCTACTGGACGGATCGTGCTACGGTATGGTACACTGCAGCAGTACTACAACAGTACTACAGTAAGATGAAATAACTCGATAAACCTTGGTGTACCGTTCGATGCATTCTGGTGTACCGCTCGGTACGCCGGTACTGTACCGAGCCAACCTTGAAACATCGATACGATATGGTATGGTATTTTTCACTTATATTTTGTAGATATATCACTCACATTGGCTCAATAAACTTATTAATTAAGGTTTATTCATGAAATCTAGCAAACCTATCCATATTTAAGAATAACAAATTTGAATTTAAAATCATAAAATATAAATTATTAGTAGTGCCCTCACTTTCATTCATTAGTATCAACTAAGGTTTCAATGTCTCCACTTTAATGGCTTAGCAATAGTCATTTGAGGAAGATTAACTACAAGCACATTAATTCAAGTTTATATTTACATATGGATGTAGAATACAAACTTCTATTTAAAATTAACTCAACTTTAATATCGGATTAAATTGGTAATTCTAATCAATCAAATTAATAAGACAGTTACTAATATCCTGATCAAACAGTACACAAGTAAAATGAGAGAGATTCCAACATGAAAGTAAATTTACCAAAACATACTCTCACAACAGAGATTCCCTCTATAAACACTTTTGAGACGTCTTCTTTTGTAGTTTTCAAGATCTACAAAAGAAACTATTGCCTCAGTTACTTGTACAACATGCAATACCACAACTCATTGGTAATGTCATCAATAAAAATGAGAATGTACGCAACTTGAAAGACTAAACCAATCTAAATCTTGACAAGGATTTTTTTCTGTCTTGACATATATAATCGAGACCATTGTTCTCCGGGAAAAAGATTGCTTGTTATTCCAAGAAGATACTCTTTGACTTGTTACCATCACTTATATCTACCTGCAAGACACCATGTGCAGGTTTGTGGCAATTACAGTAGGAACACACGAGATCATCGGAGGAGTTGGGTAAACATATTTACACACCTTTCGAAACTTACTAGCTACAATGAGACAAAGAACAGGAGAGTTCAAAAGAAAAATCCTCTACTTCATTTCCTCGAGTTTTGTTTGGATGATGAAACAAAGCATCCATTTATACCACATGATCGTCAGCTTAGAAGGTAGGAAAGCTGAAGAAGACAGATGATGTGGGTACCCAGCCGATAATACCAAATTCCAATATTTTGGTGGAAGATAATTCACCTTATGAACATTCTTTGTATCCATAAATGTCAGCATGGATATAATAAGATGCCTTCCACCACCTTTCCAAAAACAACCATCCTATCAACATGTCAGATGCTTGGATAGATGATTCCAGCATCTGAACCAACTTCTGATAGAAAAGCTGCAATTAGAACCATATAGGCGATTAAAAATTTGAGTAGTAAGTTCAAGTATCATGAAATAAACACATCAGATAATAAGTAGTACTTTGCACAGCTCCTCAGGTCATGCAGAATTTACAGAGCATCAGCTTGTCTTTTGTGGCTGGTGCCCTTTCTACCCAGTCCATCCATTCGGTGCATTTGGCGACGGAGTCTCCTGCATGTCAATCACATTAACCAAATATGGACTACCCATTGTATTTCAAACAGCCTTTGAATAGAGAGTTCATTATGAAATATCTAATACTAAAGCCATCAAAATGGAAGGAAGGCGGATGAATGAACACCTGTAGCATTTGCTGATAGATCCATTGCATCCTTGGTTGTGTTCCAACAGCTTGTTGGTCAAACTGGCCCTATAAAGCAAGAAGTACCGAATGAGACATGTGAGGGATATACAAAACTTAAAAAAGAGAAGTCATTGAAATCAATGCATTATTCAATATTGACAAGCAAATTAAAGTGATTATTTTATTTATCAATACCATGTGGAATTGAAATTGTAATTAGAAGCTTGGATATGGTAAAAACACAGATAGACAAACCTGGAACATGCTGCCCAAAGACATCCTTGATTGATTGTTAGTTTGATGTGAGTGGTTCACTTGTGGTCCATAATGGCAACCAAGCGAGAAATCACTCGGGCTAATTTCACCCTGCATTATATTCTCAATTTTATGACCAAAGGAAGCTGAACGACCTCATTGGCCAACAGACAACGAATATATACAGAAGTAAAGAAATGATGATCACTAAAAAGGCTTCCCAATGCACAAAGATCCTTGCTAATGCAGGATCAATGGAGAGTCAGATTATGAGGCCTTATGACTGTAAGCGATAGAGGCTGTTTCCATGACTCGAACCATGACATCTTAGTTACAAAGAAGCAACTTATGGTACTGCTAAGGCTCACCCTCAAAAAAATGTCTCTTACTGTTAACATAGAAGTCTTTTAAAAAGATATTGGCATTTTAAGTACCATTGGCGTCAAGCTTTCCTGAGCATCAATATCTATCCCTGCATTTGAAGCAGAAGGAATGACTAGATTGATCCCACTATGATTTCGGGACAGTAATGTTCCTTGATCATCCTGTGGAATGTGGATACTAGAATCAGAAATGGTTTACAGGAAACGTAGTACTTCATAAATAAGGAATTTGAGTATGCCTCACAACTCATATATCATTTTCCTGTTTAAATAAAGTGTGAAGTATATGTCAGACTACCTTTTTCTTGGGTGGCCGACCTCTCCGTTTAATTTGGGGTGAATTTTGGATTTTATGACCTGCAGATGTGACCAGGTGTTGCACAACATTTTCAGCATTCTCAGGTGTCCTTGAATCAGAAGGAAGAATCATAAAGTTTGCATTTCCAGAATTTTTATCATTTGATAAAAATTTCTCAACCTCTCCAATCATCTTGAGAGCAAGATGGTATCTGTCACTGGACATCATTCCAACTTCTACAAGTTGAAGGCAACTCATTACTAAATTGTCATAGCGCTCCAGTCGATTGTTTGCAACCATCTCATCAGTGGGATAAGATATTGTATTCAATAGTTTAATGTCCTTTCTCCAGCGATCAATTACGTATCGAGATGGAATCTCATACACCTGCTGTAACTTAAGCACAGATAAAGCATGCCTACACAAAATGCCTCTAAATTGGAAAGAACCACAACAACACTGGACCTCAAGTTCATTTGAACTGTAAAGAACTCTGAAATCTCTATACTCTGTGGGGTTACCATCTTCCAATAGAAGAGACTCCTTAATGTCATAAGTTGAAATTTGTGCTTCCTCTTTGACCAAGGAAACATTACAATACATTGTGGCCTTTAGCTCATCTTGGAACTCTTTGAACTTGTTATAAGTGTAAAGCTCAACAAGTTGTTTTTCCATATAAAATTTAGAGACCAAATTTGGGATTTTGTTAAAAGACTCAAGTTCAGCTTGCGCTTCCTTCTCATACTTATTCTGTAAAGCAACCTCATAAACACTCAAAAATTGCTTTAAGGAAGTTTCAGGATATATAAATCCATCAAAAAAAGAACTCAAGCATGTGCCTCGATCACTACAAGACAATCCTGCCCAAAATGTGTCTTTCAAATAAACAGGAACCCAAGAATGTCTATTCTCATATAACCAATTGAGCCATTCATTAGCTTCTAGTCCATATGCTTCAATCATGTTTTTCCAATCCTTTTCAAACACATCAGTTTCATACGAGTCATAGACTATCTTCTCCAGTGCCTTCCTGATTGAATTGCAATTTTCATGTTCTATAAAGCGCAGTGAGATCCTCTTCATTATTTGCCAAAGACATAGACGATGACGAACACCTGGGAACACCTTCGTCAATGCATCCTTGATGGCCTCACATTCGTCAGTTATCAGAGAATTTGGGGGTTGTCTTGACATGCATGCTAACCATGTCTTAAATAACCAAAAGTAGGTCTCAGCAGTCTCATCTGATAGCAAGCCGCAGCCAAGCAGAACCAACTGGCCATGATTGTTAACTCCAACAAACAGTGAAAGAGGTATATCAAAGTCACCTGTTAGATAGGTTGTATCAAATAGAACAACATCCCCAAAATGTTTGAATGTGGCCCTTGATATAGCATCAGCCCAGAATACATTCCTCAGGCGGCCTTCCTCATCCAAATCCATTGAATAAAAGAAGTTTGCATTTTTCATTTGCATATGTGTAAAGAACTGATAAATAGCTTCAGCATTGCCATCATGAAGCATCAAATGCCCTCTTTCATCCATGGTTCTGATGTTCTTTTCACCAAAAGGTATGTCCTCAACTAGTTTGAGCACGGGCGACTGAAACCTCTTCAGTCTTCGTATCATAATCTTCCCATTGTTTTCATCATGCTTTGGCAATGCATAAGACATCTTTTTTCTGCGCTTCTTCAATTCAATCTTTGATGGATCCATAGGATGGTTGTGCTCTAGAATAGCTTTCTTTATATGTAATAATCCATCAGCCCGCAACTTCAACAGGATTGTGGCCTGACAGTTTGTTTTAGCCGTAGGCCTACACAAGTAGCTAGGATCATCTGCCCGTCCCTTGCCCCCCCTAGAACAAATAAATTCCACAGATTGGTATTGGCCAAACTTATTATAATTCGTCCTCTTCAGACGTGCACTAAACCCCACGAGCCGAGCATACTCTCTATAAAACTCCAAAGCTTCCTCATAGGACTTGAATTTCATTCCGACAGTAGGAGTTCTATCATCCACTATGTTTGTTTTGGCATCCCCGCCACAAGCATCATCGTTGTCTGTTTTCTCATCTAATGCACTGGCCATAGCAAACTCATCGTCCATCTCCTCCAACAGTAAGTTACCTGCAATATTGTAACAAAATGCCTTCTCAGAAAGATAAACAAGACAAAAAAATATTTGACATAAGAAATAAATCAAGTTGTAAAACCCAACATTTCCAAATACTAAAATTCCACCAACATCATTGAAGAAAAAATTTAACAAAAAGTCATAAAAGAAAAACAAGTACATTAGTTTAAAAAACTATCTCTAGCTTGGTACTTCCAACAAAAAAATCTTGTGTTATGGAAAAAGGTGTGAGAGTCCGGAACTGAAGGTAGTTTAAGGACTAATTGATATTAATAGTGATCATCATTCTATGAATCTTAATCACTATAGGCTAATTGGCTACACCAAATGAAGCTTAGAGATAGAAATTAAATCTAACACAGCGCATGGAAGCCATTTGGATTTAAACTTGGTAATGGGAAGCTTCTGAAGCTTTGGTACGATAAATGGTCGTATTTTGGATGAAACAGGGAGATAACGGGCCTGAGTACTATGGATGTCGATTCTGATGTACCCCAAGACACGGTATCTGACCTAATCATCGATGGCAGGCTATGGTGCCTGGACTCGGCACGTCGCCCCCAATTATCCACGTCGATACAGCACGATATGCATCCCGGTGTGGAATAAGGGCCAAATTCAGCCGGGATCGGTAGAAAACCCGCAGGGATCGATTCAGGCCGATTCCAGCAGATCTGTCGCCATGGGGAAGAAGAAGGAGAGCAGCAGCAGCAATTGGCGTGGAAGGAGGAAGAGAAGGATGAGGGGGAACAGGAACAGGCTACCTGGCTCCGGCCGTCAGCTGCTGTTCGCCGCCTGCTGGGTGCCCGCTTCCGCCTGGTAACGCTGCGTAAAAGAGGGTGAGAAAGAGGTCGAGCGTAAGAGGGAGGCTGACGGGACTGAAAACATTTCAGTTCCGGATTTAAATCTGTTTAAAATCCGTCTACTGTGTTTAGAGGTTTGACGGCCCAGCCCAATTTTAATCGGCCCATCATAGGCCAACTCTGGGTTTATCAACTATATATATATATATATATATATATATATATATAT